TTTTGCATCAGTTCATCTTTCTTTCTTCCTGGAGAGAAAAGGAAAAGCCTAATACTGATGTAATAACATTCCAACTGTATACAACAATCTTTTTAATCATGCAACGATTGTCGTATAAGCACGAATAGCATCTCGACGGCAAATTGCGATTGATCGGATAAAATTAGAACACGATGTAAAGTCGGAGCGAAATCAGGAAATAGACACAGTGCAAGAAACGCGTTATTTTATACTTTCTGATTTCTGTTTCCGGTTACGTGTTGCTTTCTACATTGATGTATATACTTTAAGATCCAGTTTCACAAATATGTACCTAAAAATTAAAGGTTATCAAGAAATTTATGAATGAATTTTATTAAGAAATTTCTTCGTGACCTTTAATCTTTATCTAAACAGCACACGCGTTCAAAATGAGAATATAATGCTCGGTCCACAACCTTGCTTTAAGAGGCTTTAAGCCATAAGTCGAAAGAGATTAAGTGACGATAATTTCTTTAAACTGTTTTTGCGCAGTTTTTTTAGGCTTTAATCGTTAGATTTAAGCAAATTGAGTAAAATCCAATTCTTACGGCCTAAAAGCATAAGTTCTGTGGCCGATATCGTCACTTACAACTTACGGCTTATGGCCTTTTAAAGCAAGGTTGTGGATCTAGCACAAGACGTCTTAAAGATTTCTTAAAAACACCTTTAAGGCTAAGAATTAGAAAAAGATGAACAGTAAGTTAAATCGAGATTAAAATTAATCTTCTATTAGTGGAACCCGGCCTGAGACGTGTTATGATATGATATATAAAAAGACATTTAAAAATTACGTCTTACGTCCTGATTTTGGACATAGTGCTATCTACCTTTGGGTAGATAATGATGTATTGTGAATTTTAGTAGGTAGGTAATTTAAAGATACGTAGATCAGTGGGACGCTGTAAAGATAATTTTACATTAGTTATATCTTTATGAGATAGAGACCATAAAGAAACGTAAAAATAGTGAACGTTAATACTTCTCGTCATTTGAACAATTCTTTTTATTTTTTTTTTTCCAAATTTTAAAGAAAACTATAGCTAGGTAATTGCAGCCGTCTCATCTATACTCACTCAAAGGTTAACGACTTTGAAGAAAGTAATTAAATATATATTATATAGAGATATATGTTATATTGCAAAAGTAATACTACGTAACACTGAGTCTTGTTTCTTTAAAGAAAAAAATAATTAATTACTGCTGAATCTATTTTACAAATTTATACTCGCAACTTTATAAATTTTTTAATAATACGCGATAAATAATTCTACTTCTTTTCGCGTTGGAAACTTTAGAATTACAAAAGATTGTCTGGGTTATCAATATTGATTTACTTATAACGCGTTTTAATTAATCTGCGGTCATTGTGTGATTGTAGATGAGATCGTAACTTTCTAAATTTTTATCGTAAAATTAATAATTCAATCATATCACTTCGCTACAGACATTAGCGTTATGTTCCAAAAACTTTATTCCATCACTGAAAAAATATATTACTGAAGTAACAGAAAACAAAAGCAAACGTACAGGAAAGAGAGCGACGCGGATAATCAGGTTGCAGGGAATCCGCTGGCATCGACTGATTTGATTTTCAGAATTAAAAAGTATCAAAGGACGACAAACAACGTGGGCGGAGGGAAACGCGAAAACGTTGGGTTTGTACATTAATAACGAAGTTGCTCTTTTTAAAATCGGCGTGTCATTTTAATCCGGTGACGAGCCACGTATACGTGTTTCCGTCTCTTGTTGCGAAATTAGCAAATGCAATTTTTTTTTTGCGTTAATGCAGAGAAATCCGATGCACTTTTTTCTCTTCCCCCCCCCCTCTCTCTCTCTCTCTCTCTCTCTCTCTCTCGTAAATTATTGTCTCGCTGGCGATGCCTTTCTTACAATAGGAAATTGTAATATTATTCCGCATTAAATGAAATCCGCGCGACAATATATTGAATGGGAAAAGCGCGTCAGCACGTTCAAAGCAACGCTCTAATAACACGCACGCACACACGTGTATATGCCGTTCCGGGATGGGAAATGAGAGTCGCATATTGGCGAATACGCCTATTCAGCCCGACGTGGCGCGTGTTTTATTGAATAGCATCGATAGCTTTGCTTGCGCTGTGTATGCACGTCCGATGGAAACGAGCCCAGGGCCCCGCTTTCCCGATAGTTTACGACGGTCCGTCGCCGGACGGGAACAACGCCTCAACAATAAATTTCTGAGCCGCCCGCGATAAATTAGGCGGAAGTCCGGCGTTACATCGTACATGGGCGCGCGCCGGCGAAGCCCGAGACAATTCACCGAGTTAATTGAAGTTGATTCCTGTGGTACTTCGCCGTCCACCTGCGGGACGTGTCACCTTTCTCTTCTCGTAACCACGACGAAGCGTTTCTTTCTCTATATAAATCTAGCGGGACTTGGAGACTGCGATTAAGCTCGGACGACGGAAAAGTTTCCACTGCGTGTGCTATACGTGCTCGATTCTGCTATCTATGACTTTCAGACACGTGATCATGTACGATCGTAACGATTTTTTTTCTCCTTCCTGATGACTAAGCTTGTGTTTCTTCTTTAGAGTTTCTCTCGCATCCGCTTATAACTGGTACTATACTCTTCAGCTAATAACACGCACGTCGCTACATTTTCACCGCTGATTAGCAATCATTCTCTTTTTAAGTGGGCGTGATATGTCTTAATTAGGCAAAACCTATACGCCATTGTGTACACTAGAAAAAATGAGGGGGGAAAAAAATCTAATTTTGAAAATAATGCAGGTACATTTCACGTCAATTTACATCCTTGTTCAAGCCGTAATAATTTGAGCTGTATAAAGTAAAGTTATACAAAGGATGTCAATTGGTTGATGAGAGGTCTGAC